GTTTGGTGCTGCTTCTGGGCTAGGGCTTTTGCGTTTTTGCACGATTTTGGGTTTAAGTGTTTTTAGCGTTTCTGTGCGTTTCTTTGGGTTTCGGTGTTTAGGATTTCTGGGTTTCGGGGATTTTGCGTTTCGGGTTTAAATGTGTTTGGGTTTCGGTGCTCACACTCACTCGGGCAATCCAACGTTTAGATTTCGGCCCTCACACTCGGACAATCCAGGCGCGGCATATGGTTCGGAGTCTAATTAGTGTTTCTGAGTTTCTGCGTTTTGGGATGTTTCTTGGTTGTTATTTAATAGCTTCTCGGTTTCTGCGTTTCTGAATGCAGTTTTGGTCAAGCGATTTTCACGAGCACGCACCGCGGGACACAAATCTCACATCCATTTCGGTGCTCGTGGACCTGTAATTCAATCTCGCGACCCGCCAAACCGAGAATAGTGCGCAGCGGCGGCCAAAAGCTTAACGCCAAGTTTGGTCCAGAGACTGGAACGAGCAGGCACCGCGGGACACAAATCTCAGATCCATTTCGGTGCTCGTGGACCTGTAATTCAATCTCGCGACCCGCCAAACCGAGAATAGTGCGAAGCGGCGGCCAAAAGTTTAAAACCAGTTTCTGTCCAGCGATTTTCAGTTGGGTCTGGAATCCGCGGGGCTGGGAGGGTCTAATATCCTGAACCCCGGATTTCAGACCCTGCACTCTCCGGCCCCCGGGGCCAGGATTCCAGACCCTCCAGTACCTGATCCTATCTTGCAAAGTCACGTCCCGGAAGTGCTGGGACATCTGTTCGGGCCCTGTGCCGTGCAGTCTCCCTGTGCCTTAGATGCTGTGAACTCGGGCAAGCCGCGACGACTGCACTGATCTGGTGCACACACAAAGCTGATCCACAGCCTGAGACTTTAGAGGGCCGGTTGCCACTTCGCAGAATAAACCTATTGACCCGGCTCAAAGCCCAGTATCAGCCGAACGATTAACGCATTTTGTCGAAGTAGCACCCAGACCCCTGCTGAAGCACAACGGAACTTCGCAAAGCTCCCACAGCAAGGAAATGCATGCATGCTCGCATGACTCATACAATTAAAAAAGCACATGTGTGTCGCTGGGCTCGATGCATGGCCACGCCTACCTCGTGTGTGCGCATGCCCTGCAGTAAGAAGCCGATCTGTCGTCTTTGACAGCCAAGCTTCAGCACCAGCCGCTAGCGCAGCCAGTGCCGATGAAAAGCACAACCATCCAGTGACACCCATGGTCCGATCGTGTATCAAGCGAAGTTGATCTGTTGATTAGTTCGGTTTTTGAGCACTTGCAGCCGCAACGTCCCATTCATTCACACAACACTGAGCACTCAACTACGGCCCTATCGCCTCACAGCTTGCGCATGGTGGACGCGTACCCGTGGATCTGCGGGACCTGCGCAGCGGAACTCTGAGCTGCAAGCCTCGTCCTGCTCCATCTCCGATTTCGTGCTCTCAAGCTGCTCCTGCGCCTGACATGCGACGTGGCACTGAGAGGGTTCATCAAGTTTGCAAGGCAGACACTGCAATCTTCACCCCAGGATGAGTTAGGGTCAAGAAGCGGCTTAGCCTCAACGGAGTCCCGAAACTTCGAAACCAAGGTTAAAGTAAGGTAGCCACGCCAGCAGCAGCAGCAGCAACCATCATGGTCATCATCGCGATGAACAGATAATCCCATGCTAAGTGCGAGGAAGTTGGATGTTCATCATCATGTTGATATCCCAGATGCCCACTCAACAGCAAATTACAACACCATCAAACAGGGGTACGGACTCTTGTTTCGGCTGCGATTCTTTTACCTAGAAGAAGCCTCGAGTTTCACGAATCAAGCAGCCCACAAATGGCCCTCCCTCAACCCTGAACTCAAACCAAAAGAATAACCCTGAGCCCTCGTTTTTGTGCAACAGGCTTTACACTTCGCCCGGAGTTGGAGCAAGCAGCCGCAGCCCCCCCCCCCCGAAAAGAAAAAAGAAAAACTAAACCCTCAAGCCCCCTATGAGGGCCTCGGCGAGCGCAGTGCCCAGCTCGGCCCGGTGAGCTGCGTGGGCCTCGATTTCACGGCCAGGATCCTGGACCAGGGAGGGGGGCCTAGCATGTTGTAGGGGCCTGTAGAGTCAGAATAGGGCTGTGGGGATAAAGTGTCGTTTGTACACATATTCTGTCTTTCTGTACACATACATACACGCATACACATACACATGTACATACATACGTATACATACGTACCAGTACATTCTACTACGTTACATTACATTACGTACCGTAGTACTGTATTGTAGGGCCTTCATGATTAGAATCGGGCTTTGCAGAAAATTAATTGTGTATCAGTAAAATGAGGCACCCTCATAATAAGGAATCACGATTGGAAAAAAGGGTCCCCAAAGAGCCGGGTTCTAGGTCGGGATGTGACGTCTCCTAAACTGGGCAGCTAAACCACCCTGAGCTACCTCTATCGTATGCTGTCGTCTTTGCAGCACGTGCGCTCTAGACTTTAACTCATGGCGTATTGAACTGGATACGGTCCGGGCATCGCACAATGGCGCAAAGAAATTACGGTGCCCTTTCTCTCGAGCTAGACGCTCGCCGGCTTTGGGCACAGGGTATCAAATGAGCGGGATCAGCAGCAGCTGAAGTTGGCGAAGTCCTCAAGGCTCGTCACAGAGGCGTGGAAAGTCACAGTCTCGTCCTAATACAGGGGCCTCAACAATTAGAATATAGTTTTGGGGCCCATTGTACTATAATTATAATCAGGAACCCCCAAAATAGTACAGGTGATTATTGAGGCCCCTGCAGTAATTGACGCATGCCAGGCATATATTACAGGTCCTTCTTCATCTGCTCAAGCCACGCGTGCCGTGTCTTTCCATCCTTGGCCCCGTTGACCTTAGCAGGCTGAACCTGGATCAGAAAAACTAAACAATGCAGGGGCCTTAATAATTAGAATTGGGTGTTGGGGCCCATTGTACTATAACAACTATAACAATAATAATAACAATAATACTAATACTAATAATAATAATAATAATAAGGAGCCCCCAAAATAGAGTAGCTGAGTAACATAGGAACCTGATTAAGAAGCCTGGGGTGTTTATTAGGGTTCCTTATAAGAGTCCTAATATATAAAAATAAACAAATAAATAAATATATATATATATATATATATATTAGGGTTATAAATAGGGCTAGGGTTTCTTCATCAGGTTCCACATAATCGCAGCCCCCCGACCCGCTTCAAAAGACTCGCCCTGAACCGAAGATTCGCAGACTGGAGGAGACCCTTCACCACCCCTAACAGAACCCTAAGTGCAGCGACCCGCGAATGGATCGGAGCAGCAGAAGCAATTTTGTGACAGCGACTAAATATTCGCTCAGGTGGCTTCTGCGAGAACGGACTCGTAACAGCGCTGCAGCTCCTCATCGCTCGAACCCTCTGGACACTATTCGAAAATTTCGTGCAGCACCGCTACACTATGCATGAAGGCAGTAGAAAGTCGCATGGAGTCTTGTTTTATAAGGGTGTCGTCTACTATTCTTGGGACCTACAAAGGGGCCCCAATTGGAGAACTACCCAACTAGGGGCCTGGATAATGAGACTGTGGCATCGGGGTGTATTGCAGTAGACAATGGAAGTATTATTACGCATATTACCCAAAATACCGTCCTGAAACTCCTCGCGCTTGCCTCCCCGATCGGGATGCAAACGTCGCGCAGCTGCCCTGGCTGCGAGGCCACAGATCTTCCAACATCCCGCAATAGCAATATTGGCAGAAATCTGAAGAAGAGCAATAGTGATAGATATGGGAGTTTCCGAAAAGTAGGGGTTCCTTATTTTGGGGTCCTTGTAAAAAGAATCCTACTATTTAGGGTACTATACTAGGGCCCCCTATTTTCGGAAACTCCCATATGACAAGAATTACAGTAGCAGTACTGAACATCGGTGCCCCGCCTGTAGCCGTTTCGGACGTCTGCCTCGAGCAGTTCACCTTCAAGGTCTGCCCAAGCTTGAAGCTTTAATGGCATCTACCCATAGGCTCCATAGTAGTTCCTTTTTGGGGTTAGCTTATAGGATACATAATAGGAATCCCAAAAAGGAACTACTATGGAGCCTCTGGGTACATTCTACATAATTCTGAGTCTACATTTGTTCCCCTCTCGCATGGCTTCTACATGGAGATCCCTAGCATGAAAGCCTGCTCAGATGTGCCTACCAAAGCTGCCACGCAACATTCTAAGCCCTCCCTCAGAAGTCCACTACGGCTGTGCCCTTCGAGATTCCGACCCTGGACTCTGCCTTTGCTGATCTTCGCTGTCAACTAGCCCTGGACGAAAGACAAACGTCGTTTCGGCCACGAAAACAAGCTTCCTGACCTGCTTATGCAGCCTGCAGCGGTTCAGAAAAGGCAAAAATGATTAAACAATCCTTTACACTGCGAGGTGTGGAAGGTGCGGTATTGAAGCAGCGGCAATCCCCACCTTCTGGAAGACCCAACAGCTGTCTGCAGCTGCAGGCAAAGAATCTGCTGCCTTCCACAACGTATTTGTTCGTGGAAAACTGATGCCAGGTTGTGGTTAAGAGGCGGACAGCATAATAGGAAGAATCACTATTGACCTGTTGAGTGCCCAGGATGTCACAAGTAGCTAACAACGCGACCTGACAACTTCCAGGCCTTGCAACCTGCTCACAGAGCGAAGCGTCCTGGAACTGACAGGATACACAACTGCCAGTCACTCTGTCGTGGCTTCGAACGCTCCTTAAAGCCACGCCATGAATGGTTGCCATCCGTGACAGGGCCATGGCACACAGCCGGAGAGTACCCACTGGAAGCTGCAGTAGTTGCTCAAGCTTGCAACGCTGTCGGATGCAGCTTCTGTCTGTTGGCGAAAAACCAATGCAGGCTGCTATCGGTGCGGGTGGGGATTTCCCAAGAACGGCTTGACAGCTGACAGCATGGGCAGTCACGCACCGTGATGCCGCCTGAGATAAGCATGCTCAACCATCAAGTCTCTTCGATCGGGCCTTGGGAAGTATGCGCCGTATCTTCTGAACCTTCCGCTCGCATAGATTGACAAGGGTCAACATGCAAAGCAATAAAAGGAAGCCAGCCTCGGAAGCACTTCGATCCAGGAAGGCCTGCCCACTTTCAATGGTTCATGGCGCATGCCGTGAACTCGCACAAACCGAGGTTGCTTAGCATTTGTCTTCTCAGGTCTGGTGACTGCTGCTGATGCGGCCTGCCATGCGAACAGGCATGGCCCAGCCCCTGGGCCCACATCATCCACATCGCCCCAGTCCTGGTTCAGTCCAGTTTCTGGCTAGATTCTTGACTGGGTACAGGAGCGTGAGATGGGTGTTTGCGCCAATGGCAGCCGTGGGGTCAGCAAAGCCGTGCTCCTTGCGACATGCCTGAGTCTCCCAGTGCACTCGCCGCTGCTCCTGACCAAGGCTCAACGGAACTCTCCAAACAGATCAAACATGCCAAACCCCCAGAATCGTGTTGTTGTGCGTTAATGAGACCCCAGTCGTTTTGCTTATCGCACCTACATTGTCCTGCCGAGGTCTACCATTCGAAAGTGGATGAGTGAGTCTGAAGGCTCGCAATTTCATCCTCAACTCACCCCATTTGCAGGAGCACGGCTTTAGTTTGTCCGTCTCTTGTTCAAGGGCAGTTGTGGGATGGTGTGAAGCAGTTCCCGGGTGGACGGACTATGCACTGGGGGATCTGCGGAGAAGATTCAAGAGCACACAGCCTCTGAGTTTTTTGTTGGGCATGCATCGGCACCATGCATCATCATGCGTGATGCTACGCTGTCTTGCCCTTTCGCCCGACTTGTTGCTTAGAGCTGGGCAGTTCGACCTGATTGTGGACAGATCGTGCTTGCAGACCCGCTTTTGAGTAGTGACGAGATCGGCGACCACGGCGCGACAGCCCCACACCGCGGGCAGTGAGTCCAGAGAGTCAACCCACTCGCTCACTAGAGCATCATCTGTCGGCCAGACCGGTATCGTGAGGGCAACGCTAAGGTATAGTATAGTAAGTAACGGGTATTCCATATACCATATTAGGGATCAGACTATACTCTATGATGCATACTTGTCAATTAAGGGCTACTCCTTCAATCATATGAGGGATCCTACTACTTTAAGGTATATGCCTTAATTAAGGAATAGCATGTTCTACGAAGTCTCCAAGGCCCGGTGTTTCTGACCCAGCCTTACTCTGCAAGGAGCTGTGAGCTCTCGAGAGGCGGTGCCTTAGCAGCTACTTGTTATGCAGGGGCCCGGTTTGAGGTTTAGGGTTTCATTTTGGGGGGGCTCCTCATTATAATTATAGTCACTTAGAGCATAATATGATACTACAGAAGGATCTAAATAACTAATTAGAATAGGGTTCCTTCAAAGTTGTCTATAAGGCACTATAAGGACTTAAGAAAGGAGCCTAAATAATTACAAGTATTATTTCGGGGGTTCCTTATTGAGAGTATCGTATAATGGGCCAGAAACCGGCGCGGACAGGGTGTGTAGTCTGGAGTTTGAATGGTGTATTAATGTTTCTGTCAGACCGTTTAACGGGATGGCCCTTTGCACCACTATCCGAGAGTCTTCTTGACCCCTCAAAAACATGCAAGTCAGCTTCACTCAGCAATTGTCCTGATTTTCATCTCGTCGCAGCAAGAGTATACAATTTACCCACTAATGTTTGCGACTCAACTCACCCTGGCATTCACATGGACATGGTAGCCACGTTCAACAGCGAAGTCCAGAAGTCAGGATGCCACGACACCCAAGACAAGGAGTCTTCGTCGTTGCACCCAGTGCAGTAGAGTCAGATTCTTCTTCGCAACTCAATACAAAGATCTTCTGATAGGGTGAATTTCGAACTGTTCACGTTCGGTTGTTAGGGTTACAAGGGTCTATAGTGTTTAGGGATCTATAAGGGTTCCTGTAAGGGATCTATAATGGTGCTTTTAGGGATCCATAAGGGTTTCGACGCTCACACTCGCACAAGGCAGGCAAGGCTCCACATATAAGGGTTTAAGGTTTAGGGTTACTATGGGAGTTTCCGAAAATAGGGGACCCTCATGCAGTACCCCCAAATCGTAGAATCCTTCTGATAACCCCCAAACAAGGTCCCCCGAATTTTCGGAAACCCTAAACCCTAGACCCACTTTATAGAAAACTTATAGATCCCTTTAAGGAACCCTTACAGATCCCTTTAAAGGTACCCCCCCAATTTTCTTTTACTATCGCAGAGACGCCCTCCGAGGCAATGACCGAAGAGTCTGGACTTCCTCCTCGCAGGTGTCGATCTCCCCCTGTTGCTGGGAGACACTTTGCTAGCAGCTGGGGCCGGAATAGGAAGAATAGGGTTCCTTTTAAAGGGTTCTATAAGGGGTCTATAAGGGATCTATAGTAGGGTTTCTATATAAGGGGCCTTAATAATTAGAATAGGGTATTGGGATATAGTATATTATAGTTATGAATGGGAACCCAAGCTGTAGATACTATAAGTATAATGAGGCAGCCCCGCCCAAGAAAAAAGGTATAGGTGATGTATTCAGGCCCCTATATTAGCAGTTGCAGTTGCAGCTTCCTAAGAAGAAAAACGACGACGAAGGAAACAACTTGGTGATACTTTGAGACTCCTACTGCTGCGACGACAGCGGCTGCTACTGACGACGGCGGCGCGTCGTGGACGATGACAAAGTACTACTCCTGTCACTGCTGCTGCCGCTGCCGCTAAACACTGCCTCGCTCACACAGATTTGCGTGCTGCTGCAAGGTGAGCTTGTGGCTCACATGGCTTTGTCAGAATAACCAAAATACTTAGTAGGAAAGGACCACTAGATACAGGACTCGACTGTAAAACCGGTGAGCTTTGCAGATGTTCAACTAATGAGAAACTACAGCTCCAAGCTCGCCGCCCTCACCTTGAGGCGCACAGCGCGTCTCTGAAGGCAAATACGAAGATCCTGCTAGCGGCCATCACAACATTGCGGTTTTCGAAGATTTAGGGTTTACGCTCTCGCAACTCGGACACAGCCAGACGAGGTTCTTGGTGTGCAGTGGGACTACGAGTGCAGGGTTCCCAAGTCAGGTCCAAACAAAACGTTAAGGCCACGGACTACCCCGACTCGGATCCCTGCAACTGAGGAATTCATCTCCTTCATTGAGGAGGGCACAAGGGCAATGCGAGTCAAATAAGTGGAACACAGCCCAACAAAAGTTAAAGGCCACTGAGGACTTAAACTCGCAACACCCCCGAATGTGAGTGACAAGAAAGAGCCAGGCAGAACTACGATAGCAAGTTACTACGCGAGCCCTTAACGGGGCAGCACACAAGCCGCTCTCGATCCGATACTGAACTTAGAACCCTTTTCTTAGGGATTACAATAACCAAAATTAAAAATAATTCTAAGTACCCCGAAGGATCCCTGGCCTCCTGCTCTGATGTGGGCACGCCCGGTCCGGAGGACCGGAACCTCAACTTGCCGAGCTGCGCAGTGCTCTTACGACAAAGGGCAAAAGGGCCTTCGGCGCCATGTGAGGCTCGGATATCATAGTACACTTATAGTATCCCTTACAGGATCCCTTTGAAGGGACGAACCCCTATTCAAATTATTTGCGTCTCTCCCTCTTCTTGCCTTTTGAATGAAGCTTTGATTCTTTGATAGAAGCAGCAAGAAGCCCTGGGGGCCGAAACTTGCTCTTTCTGCTCGGTGGAGAAAACCTGGTGGAAGCCAAGGCTCCAAGCCCCGCTACGACTGCGATACGTTGGAAATTGCTGTTGGGATTCCAGATTCATCTGTCTGATCTTGATATTCCTACTCTCCAATCTATCCAGCACGTCATGCTCATTTGGCATAGATGTACGGCTAAGACATGCTAAGACTCTGGCAGTATCTGCTTGTCTTCGATCCCCTAACTTTCGCTCTCTAATGCTCTTGACCCGTAAAAACATCCTGGCCTAACTGAGTTCGCAGTTCTCCGTCTTTAACAAATGTACTTCCGAACAGGACAGGCTACTGTATAACCACTGCAAGTTTGAAATGCATCCACGCGCTGTCTCTACACTCTACACACTCCAAGTCAAGCTTCTGCCTTGAACTAGTAGAGAACGGCGAGTCCGCACCGGTTGGCTGCAGTTTCGCTGGACTTGTGTCCTGCAATTGACGAATTGCATTCGTGCTACACAAACAGGAAGCCTCCCCCACCTGCCCGCAGCTTGGCTCTCATGGCAGCAGGCACTACATTTACCTACCGGCTGCCTTTGCATGGTATTTATCTCGGTTCAGTCGGTGTCCTCCTTGCCTTTGGCATCCGCAGGCACTTCAGCGGCCTGTGCATTCTGAAGAACCTTCGCTGCAACGACGCATGCCGGCGTTCTGCGCTGCGGATCTAGCTACCATGGAAAGGCCTGCTAGCCTATACTGAGCTACTAATGACACTTGCAGTAAGAGTGCTTGTTTTGGCTGTTGGTGCAGGTGGCAGGTTCTTTGTTGCTGTTGGTGCGATGGGGCGCTTCGCAACAACAGCCCCCCACCCAACGGAGAAAAACAAAAAAGAAACATGCTGTGGATGCCTGTGTGTGTGTGTGTGTGATTGTGTTTGACACGTGTGTGTGATTGTGTTTGTGTGTGTGTGTGTGCGTGTGTGTTTGTGTGCGTGTGTGTTTTGTTGTTTGGGCCCGAACAGGTGTTCACTCACTTGCTCGTTCGTTGGGGAGTCAGCTGCAGAGCAGTAAGTATGCTTCTGTTTTTATACATACGCACACACACACACACACGCACACATGCACGCACCAACAGCAACAAACATCAGCCTGTGGATGCCGGCGGGAGTTTTTTGTTTTGCTGCGGGTGCGTCATTTTGTGTTGCTTGCTGGACGGGCCGTTCAGTCAGTTGCTGGCTAGCCAGGGCTTCAGCTGTATCGCACAACAGCAAAAGAGCACACGCAGCAGAACAAAACCAAAAACGTTCCGTTAAACCTGCTCTTTCTTCTAGATATTACTGATTTTACGACATACGCCCAAGTAAGCACACCAACGTAGCTATGTCTCTATATGTGTACATGTAAAAAGAAACCATGAATGGACAGATTAACAAATATATACAAACGTTCAAAATGAACAGGATGAGATGCATACACAAATACAGGCACAATAAGCAGACAAACGAACATATCACATGTATACACTGCGGTGCGCGCTCTTCCGCTTGGCCCCTGCGAAGCTCGGGAGTTGGCTGCGTAGCTGTCCAGCGACTTCCTCAAGGACAGCCTAAGAGCAGAATCGACAAGTGGCAGACCCTTGGTGTTTGCGGCTAAGGGTGCAGCTTTCAGAGAGTAGGCTTTTTCGGTGATTTGGGGAAAGGGCTTCGACTCTCGCGGCTTTGGGTGCGGCGTTTCAGCTCTTGGTGTTTTGGATGGGCAGGCTCGGGATCTCGGACGCAACCCTCAAACGCAAACGGTTATTGAGTTCGAGCAGCGAAGGTCAACAGTGCCAAAGCGACGGAACCCCGTTTCATCAGTGGTCACTAAAGAATCTGTAAGCATGGCTAGATAGATGTTATATAAGAATAGCAACACAAGCAGTTCCAAGAAAAAATCCAACAATAAAAGCAAAACTGATAGTACTAATCATAGTGATAACAGTAACTTTCGGAAATGACGGTAGCAACAATAACAACAACAGTTATAATGATAATTGCAAATAGTGATAGCAATCACAACTATATGGGAGTTTCCCCCAAGATAGTACCCTAAATAGCAGGATCCTGATTAGAAGGACCCCCAAATAAGGTACCCCTAATTCTCGAAATCTCCCATACGTGCGTAACGATTAGCCCGATTGGTCTTGACCTTTGATCATACGGATCCTTAGGGGTGTAGGGGGGAGGGGTGTAGGGGACTATATTTCCTTAAAATAAGCCTTATTAGTCCTTATTATGGGCCTTAAGGCCCCCTACCCCCCCTCCCCCTACACCCCTAAGGATCCCTATGATTTGAGGCTGACACGACTGGAAGGGCTCCTCGGAGCAGCGGCCGGGCGATGTGAAGCTGCAACGGTTTTTTTCTACAGGGGCCTGAATAATTAGAAAAGGGTTCCTTTTAAAGGGGTTCAAATGGGGTTCTATATTAGGGGCCTAAATAGTTAGGTTAGAATAGGTCTTGGGCTAGATTATACTATAGCTATAATAAGGAACCCCCCAAAACAGTACCGATAGTCATTTAGGCCCCTATAGTAGATTTCGGGAGACTGGGAAGTTTCTGTCTCGTCGTTGTAGGAAAATAAACGGTGTTGCATGGTTTAGGCACAGGGTGCAGGGAAATGGAGGGAATGGGTTTCTAGGAGGTGCTTTTAAAGCCTTTGAAAATATTAGTAGGTAAGATCCTCTTAAAGAGCAAATATAACATGTCCCAAAGCCCTACCTAGTTTGTATGATGTTTTATGGACGGTCCGGGCTGGGCTCAAACGCGAATAGGGTGTACGCTGTCGGTGCCGCAACTGATTTGTGCCAAGGTTACATATGAGTGGTTGTCAAAGTCATGGTCCCTTTTTGGGTCCCCAATATAATGCGGCACCTATGATTTAGGGTGCTCAGAAAGGGACCTTAATTTTGACAACCACCATATAGCACTGCGAATTGTGACTCGTGACCAAAGTTGGTCACCCTTGATTTGGCTTTACTTGGTCTGCAAGCCCTGATACCCAAGCTGAGTAAAAATGCCGAACCTAATTAGAACTTCGAGCTTCTTGTATGATGGGCACTTAAAGGATCATGGGAGTTAGTAACTATAGGGTTATAATTAGGGTAACTATACTTATAACCCGAATTAAGGTACTTATAACCTTACTTACTAAGTCCCCTGATCCTCCAAGCAGGGACCGCAAAACTCAACCATGACGACGGGAACCATTGCAAGACGTTTGGGCAGCAGGTCGTCTCAACTCACTGTTACGAATGCTTGCACTTTCCCTCGCTTGACAAAGTCCGGACAGCTCCAAACAGCACGAAAAGCTAAGGATGGGTCGATGGTGACCTCGACATCCTCCTTTGGAAGCGAGGCCTTACAGTTCAGGACCAGGCGACAAACACTAAGCCAAAGCAGCAAAACTGGATGCAGCACCCAGCTCTGCAAGCGAGTCTCTTTTTTGACGGAACACGGTGGCTTTGCGTGAGAAGTGGTGGGTCTTCTTGCCTTCAAGGACGCCTGCGCTCTGGTGGGGGCATTGCTTTCAATGCCAAGTCCACGGGGCAGCTGAGGCAGCCTGGAAAGAGCGAAATACGGTTTGTACTTTGTACTGTAAGCGGGCGCGCTACACTGACGAGGTTCGTGTGACTATACACATAGCTTGCGCGAAGGGCCAGTCAATCCTTTGTGGACGACCAGGCAGGAAAACGGCATCGCAAGGCAACGCGGCATGCAAAGCTGCGATTTGTATCAGCTGATGACACGTGCTACTGGCACTGCAACCGCCTGTCTGTACATCCGGATGGTGCAGTAACTACCAGGGTCGGAAGCAATGGCTCAAAGTGAAATCGCGAGTCCTTTCTTTTTACCTCCTACCTAGCAAGGACGGAAACAGCTGACAGCAGCTTCTCTCAGTCCTTCTCGGGTCGAGGCTCACCAGGTGTGCGTCGAAGTCTACCAACTTGTTCGCAGTCCAGTCAGACTCCATCTTGGCAGCATGGCCCGTCACAGGGCAAACTCTGCCCAGAACACTATCCAGCGAACGCATGTCATCTGCGAAGTGCCTCTGCAGGTACGGGCAGGAAGCCGGCGATTCCTTTGTTCGATCCCCGCAGCAAATTTGTGTCTCAGCCATACTCTTGGGCAGGTAGGGCCGGAACATGCTGCTCAATCGCCTGGCGAGATGTGCACCCGGCAGGCCTGTGACCGTGGTAGATCCCATGGACAACGGGTGCAACACCTCGGACATCTCGCTCATCTGCGACATGGCCTTCACGTAGGCGCGCGGAGGCATGGTAAGGAAGGAGAAGCCGGTGAAGTCGCAGACCACCTCGTACTTCATAATTCTGCCGCACCTGCGTGAAGTCCTGTCGACCCAGTTCCACAGTCTCCTGGCTGTGTGGAGGCTGTAGTTGATGATGTCTTCTTCAGAGGCTGCCTTCATCAGTGGCTTGAAGTCAGTCTCTGCGACAGGGACGATGAAGAGCAGTCTATCCCCAGATTCCCAGAGGCGAAACTTGGAATGTGGCTCAATCTTGTCAGCGCCGGGACAGGACTGTTCAATTTCAGCTGATCTCAGCAGATCTGCTTTCGTCTTCTTGAGATATGCTGCAGCGCGGATTGCTGCAAAGCTGTTCTGGACACTGCCGAACCCACACAAATAGCGAACAAGTGCTATGTCGTCCATCTGGAAGCGGTCTTTCGACACTGCGCTCAATTCAACTTTCAACTTTGCCAGATCTGCACTGCGCTCGGCGATCAACTCGGAGAACGGACGGCCCAAGAATGTCGAGCCTGTCTTCGTCACCGGCTTTGGCATTGCTGGGAGCTCTGATGCCATGCGCCGAGAGTCCATGAGGATGGGCGCTGTACTCTCAAAGCTGCAGTGCTACGGGATCTGTGCCTCTATGCCTGCGTGATGAAGCTAAATACCTCTTGCTTTGTGTATGTCAATTCACAGCTGCTCCCAAGCTGGCTTGCAAGTCTTCCTTTCAGCGATCTGCGTTTGTGTGCGTGCATGCTTCACACTAGCATAGCCGTTCGAACCGGCCAATTCGACACAAGCCCTCTCTGGTGAGACCCCGAGTATTTCAGTGCAGGCGGTCTGCAAGCACACTGAAAGGTTCATGTTTCCCCTGCCACACACATGCAAAAAATCAACAACCATGAGGCCGGCCGAAGTCTCACAACAAGCGGGTGCGGCAAACACACCCCGAGCGAGTCTCTTTTGACGGAACACGGTGGCTTTGCGTGAGAAGTGGTGGGTCTTCTTCCCTTCAAGGACGCCTGCGCTCTGGTGGGGGCATTGCTTTCAATGCCAAGTCCACGGTGCAGCTGAGGCAGCCTGGAAAGAGCGAAATACGGTTTGTACTTTGTACTGTAAGCGGGCGCGCTACACTGACGAGGTTCGTGTGACTATACACATAGCTTGCGCGAAGGGCCAGTCAATCCTTTGTGGACGACCGGGCAGGAAAACGGAATCGCAAGGCAACGCGGCATGCAAAGCTGCGATTTGTATCAGCTGATGACACGTGCTACTGGCACTGCAACCGCCTGTCTGTACATCCGGATGGTGCAGTAACTACCAGGGTCGGAAGCAATGGCTCAAAGTGAAATCGTGTAGATCTCAGTGCTTTCTGGATCGAGGGTTGCCACGTGTGCCTCGAAGTCGACGAGCTTCTTCTCAGTCCAGTCAGACTCCATCTTGGCAGCATGGCCCGTCACAGGGCAAATTCTGCCCAGAACACTATCCAGCGAACTCATGTCATCTGCGAAATGCCTCTGCAGGTACGGGCAGGAAGCCGGCGATTGCTTCGTTCGATCCCCGCAGCAAATTTGTGTCTCAGCCATGGACTTGGGGAGGAAGGGCCGGAACATGCTGCTCAATCGCCTGGCCAGATGTGCACCCGGCAGGCCTGTGACCGTGGTACATCCCATGGACACCGGGTGCAGCACCTCGGACATCTCGCTCATCTGCGACATGGCCTTCACGTAGGCGCGCGGAGGCATGGTAAGGAAGGAGAAGCCGGTGAAGTCGCAGACCACCTCGTACTTCATAATTCTGCCGCACCTGCGTGAAGTCCTGTCGACCCAGTTCCACAGTCTCCTTGCTGTGTGGAGGCTGTGGTTGATGATGTCTTCTTCAGAGGCTGCCTTCATCAGTGGCTTAAAGTCAGTCTGTGCTACAGGGACGATGAAGAGCATTCTATCCCTAGATTCCCAGAGGTGAAACTTGGAATATGGCTCAATCTTGTCAGCGCAGGGACAGGACTGTTCAACTTCAGCTGATCTCAGCAGATCTGCTTTCGTCTTCTTGAGATATGCTGCAGCGCGGATTGCTGCAAAGCTGTTCTGGACACTGCCGAACCCACACAAATAGCGAACAAGCGCTATATCGTCCATCTGGAAGCGGTCTTTCGACACTGCGCTCAATTCAACTTTCAACTTTGCCAGATCTGCACTGCGCTCGGCGATCAACTCGGAGAACGGACGGCCCAAGAATGTTGAGCCTGTCTTCGTCACCGGCTTTGGCATTGCTGGGAGCTCTGATGCCATGCGCCGAGAGTCCATGAGGATGGGCGCTGTACTCTCAAAGCTGCAGTGCTACGGGATCTGTGCCTCTATGCCCTTGTGATGAAATTGGGCTTTGCGCGCGCATGCTTCGCACTAGCTGCCGAACCGGGAAGCTGGTCAAAGGTGGTTGCCCCGCATCCTGGGAAGCACGTGTGACAAATCTCATATTTAAGACTGTTAACACAACGGCACGTGCCTGACTCACGCCACGCCCTCACGTGCCAATAAAAGCAAGTCACAAGCGAGTCATCCAGAGGGTGCACAAGCGCGCGGACAAACAAAAACAACAGATACACACTCTTTTCGCTACTTTTCGCTTTGATAACAGTGTGCGGTTATTCGCGGACTTACAGGTACATGGACATGTCCCTCGTCAGGCAATGCCATCCGGTACACGTATTAAAGGATGCAGCTCCCAAGACTCTCTGCATGCGTCTGGAACTCAGCTCAAGCAAGTGGCATGCAATCCAAATTTTCAGACCTCGCGCCGCTTGTGAAACTGGTGGACTGCAACTGCGACTGTCTGGTTTCAGAGCTGGTGGCAGTACTGCAGTCAAGTTGTTCCGCGTCAGGATCTGCTTGGAAAGCAAACCGACCACTACTGTTGGGTTTAATGTTTATAAGGAGCACTGTATTGCGTCTGCCGCGGTGACTGTTCACATTATTGTACCTGGTGTTAGGGCTACCATCTAATAATGGCTTCCACCCAGCTAGATTTGCCCGGTTGTTTCTTGGCAAGACCCTAGGTTTCAGAACTACCTGGTGTGCCCACATGCAATGAAAAGCCGCTGGCCAATAGACCACTTCTCTCGGCGGCAGGCCGCGTCCCCCAACAGCGTGCTTCAGACCGTGCTTTTTGAGTATGAACTATTCCCGGTGCTGGGGGCACATCCGACATGGCACGATTGAATTCCAATCCGAAGCGCTTCGGGATGTGTACTCTTGATGTCGGTCGGGGCCAGCGCAAACAGCACAGCTAAGAAGCAGTGCAACTGATACAATACATTTACTTGTCTTCACCATCTGCCCCCCCCCGCCCCCCCGCCCCAGGGTTTAGAAATACTTCAGGGATATTCGGTGATTATGGGGATACTCAAAACTAATCGGCACCTGGCTTCACGTCGGCTCTCGGCTGGCCTTTTGCTCCGCTGCTTCCCCCGGCTCTGCAGGAAGCTCACCGGCCTCATCCACTGTCTCCAGTGGCTGCGCAACCTACCAATCGCTGTCTTGGCTTTGGAAAAGGGTATGGTGGGAATCTCAGACAAGCTTGGCCCCGGATCCTTATGATCCATGCTCCCTGGCTCAGGCAACAAGGGATCCAACAAACCACCTTAACATCAGGATTCCCAATGTGAGGAGCTTCCAACACTTGAGTCTCTCCCGTTCATAGTTTTGCGGTGTCTTCCGGAATATTATCGAACTTCAATCATATATACATATATATATATATGTATATATATATATATATATATATATATATATATATGTATATATATATATGTATGTGTGCATATAAATATATGTATGTGCATATATATATATATATATATGTGTGTGTGTGTGTGCATATATATATATATATATACATATACATGTGTGTGTATATATTGTTATATATATATATATATTTATTTATTTATTTTTAAGAATGTAAATAGACTCCCCCCCCCCCGGGCCTCCATGGAGCCTCGCCTGGGCTTGGGCTGCTCCCAGGGCGCTAATCGCAGAGGCTTCTTCGGCTCCTCGGGTAGAAGACCTCACCGAGGGGTGTAGGGCCAGCTTGTGGTTTAGGGTTGCGTGACCGGGATCATCTGGACATACATGGGGGTTTCCGAAAACAGGGGACCCCAATTCATACCCTAAATAGTAGGATCCTTATTATAAGGACCCCAAACTAGGGTACCCCCTTTTTTCGGAAACTCCCACATAGAAGTGCTGAATCACTGAAGCTCTCGGTCTGAGGTTGACCTCGAGCTGCAAGGAAAGTATCCCAGACTGAACAGCTGGCTCTAGCTGCTAGCTTTCTTTCCATCTCGAGTGCTTCGAAGAAGTTGAGCTTGCTGATGCTTCTTGTTTGCCCGGAACCCGACTCCACTACCGGAAGACCCTGAGTGTGGAATTCACCTTAGACCCTGTCGGTGTAGGGTCTCCCTGCCTGGGTAAGTGGTGCGCCGCTTCTGATCGCAATCGATGATCACCAGCTGTCTCTGTGCGGACTCGACCAGTGCCTTCTCTTGCCGAACCTTCAGGGTGTAGGAGTTTAGGGTTTGGGGTTTAGGGGTTCAGGGTTTTACAGTAGAAGCCAGAAAGTTGGAATAGCATTATCGTAATCCCTTGAAGGTATATTATAGGGGATCCTGCCATTAATCCATATTCCAACTTTCTGGAGTTCCCTTCAGGGGTTTAGGGAGGCCCACAGATCTGATGGTTTGCTTGAAGGAGGATGACATTTACCAAGTATACTTGAAGGATCATGGGACTTAGTAAGTAAGGTTATAAGTACCTTTATTGGGATTATAAGTATAGTTACCCTAAATATAACCCTAGTTACTAAGTCCCCTGATCCTTTAAGTAAGGTAAGTACGACCTTGCTGCATACTGTAGGAACCTGATTAAGAAACCCTGGCCCTGTAACCCCAATATATTAGGAATCGAATGAGGAACCCGAATGAAGACCCAAAGTTTCTTAATCAGGTTCAGGTTCCTACATTACCCAACATTTCAAATTTCGAAGACTCTAAACTGCATCCAGGCCTATTGCGACTGCACCCTGAACCACTAAACCCGCCCACACGGCCCGCTCCGTCCCAGAGACCAGAACGTCGGCGAGGCCTCGCTGTGTGACCGCTCGATCAGCTCTTCGGCACAATGCTGGCCGATGAAGTTCAAACGCCTGAGTTATAATACGTAATACGGAAAAGGCATATATGTATAATGTACATAAAAATATACACACATACATATAGTATACACCGTGGATAATATATAATATATGCTACATCTCTGGCAAAATGGCAGCCCTGACACTCGGCGACATCCGTCGGGAACTACCAAGCGCACACAACGGTTCTCATGCTTTGGCTGTAGGCTTGGGATGTTTGTGCGGATAAGACAACCTGGGGTTTCGACTCTTGTGGAATCCGGGCGAGGAAGATCTCGGCTCTTAAAAAGACATGTGGGGATGAAAGCTAGGATTCGGGGGGAGACTAAAGCATGACAACAGTAGTTATGAAGCTCGCCACTGTTTCCATCCGGCGTCTACTAGGC